TGCCGCGAGCCATAGGCTACCACTTTCCCTTCTTCCATCAACACACAACCCAAACCCTCTCATGAGGCATCACAATAAACCGCATAACCCAAACCTCTCTCTAGAATAATCAACACTGAAGCGGTAGTAAGTCTAACTTTAAGTTCTTGGAACGACTTTTCACAAGTCTCACTCCATACAAATTTGACCCCTTTTTGCGTCAATCTAGTCAACGGCGAAGCTAGCCTGGAGAAATCCTTCATAGACAGGCGGTAATACCCAACTAATCTCAAAAAACTGCGGATCTCAAAACACTCTTGGGCTGTGCCCAATCCTGTACTGCCTCTATCTTAGATGTATCAACAGACACCCCTTTCCCGGAGACTACATGGCCTAAGAACTTAACCTCTCTTAGCCAAAACTCACACTTCCCAAACTTAGCATACAGCTTATGGGCTCTAAGTAACTCAAGCTCCACTCTCAAGTGTTCCTCGTGCTCCTCCTCAGAAGGTGAATAAATCAGAATGTTGTCTACGAAGACGACCACAAAACGATCTAAGAGCTCCCGGAATATCCGGTTTATCAAGTTCATAAACACTGCCGGTGCATTGATGAGCCTAAAAGGTATCACCAGAAACTCATAGTGGCCATACCGCGTACGGAATGTCGTCTTCGGAATATCTTCCTCCCTGACCCTCAACTGATGGTAACCCAATCTCAAGTCTATCTTAGAGAAACAACGGGACCCTTTCAACTGGTCAAACAAATCATCTATATGAGGCATAGGATACTTGTTCTTGACCGTAGCCCGATTCAACTTCCGGTAATCAATACAAAGTCTCAAAGTCCTGTCTTTCTTTTTAGCAAAGAGGGCCGGTGCTCCCCACGGCGAAGCACTAGGGCGGATAAAGCCCTTATCTAGCAACTCCTGGAACTGAATCTTTAACTCACTCAGCTCGGCTGGGCAAAATGATACGGTGCCATAGAAATCGGCGCCATGCTGGGCACTAAATCAATAGAGAACTCGATCTCTCGGTGGGGTGGCAAACTAACAAGATTCTCGGGAAAGACGTCCAAGTACTCACAAACCACTCTCGGCAATATAGTCTGGGTCTCATCACACTCACTACTCATACAGCTAGCGAGAAGACAACTAAGCTCACTCCGCCCTCGTGGATCATACACCGGTGGAAAAACTCTACCAACCCGATCCCCCAAGAAATGAAAACAATCCCCGCTCAAGGTACATACAGTAATCCTCTAGTGGTAGCAATCAATAACAGCCCGGTATGACGATAACCAGTCCATATCCAAAATCACATCAAAACCCGACATAGCCATAACTACAAAAGAACATGGAAGCCGGCGGTCGGCGACCTCAATATCACAGCCCCGACACCTTTGTTTCAAAATCAACTCACCACCAACAGGTAACACAACACAAATAGGAGAAGCTAACTGTGCCAACTCCAACCCCAAAACAGATGCAAATGTAGCAAATATAAAGGAATGGAATGCACCCGTATCAATCAACACATTAGCAACCGAGTTGCAAAACAAAAAGGTACCTCTCACAACAGATGGAGCCGGTATAAGATCCTGCGCGGCAACAACATACACACACCTAAAAGGTCTCTGATCTACCTGCTCTCATCTTGGAGCAAAAGACTGCTGCACAAACTGAGACGATGAGGCTCCCTGATTGGCCCTCGAGGCCTGAACAGACTGAGCTGGCTGATAACTCTGCCTCGACCCAGATGCACCAGATGTGCCACTCAACTGTGGGCAAAACCTCTTCAGGTGCCCCGCCTGACCACACTGGTAACAAGAGAGCGGCTGACCTCTGCCCTGACTCTGGCTCTAAGGTCGAGCCGAAGATGAAGCTGCTCTTTGCCCTCCTCCTCTCTGCGGGCAAGCTGGAGACTTGTGGCCCAGCTGACCACACTTGTAACAAGTAAAGTCTCCCTGACTGCCTCTCCCAGAGCCTGCACTCGGCACTGGAAATGTAGATCTCACAAAAGAACCCTAGGACTGCTGAGAGTTAGAACCCTTCTGCCTCCTACCGTCCCCCTGGCCATCCTGACTCCTCTTGGAGCCCCTCAACCTCTCATCTTCCTCATGCATAATAATCTCAAGATGCGCCGCAGCATCCACAAGGCGCCCATACTCCCGAGTCATGGACCCCATAACTCTCATCTTGAGCCCAGTCCTCAACTTCTTTTCGAACTTAAGACAACGGCGTTCCTTAGACGCCACTAACTCTGGTGTGAACCTAGATAAGCTGGTAAATGCGGCCTCAAACTCAGTTACTGGTATATTCAGCTGCTTGAGCTGACAGAACTGATCCCTCAACTTCTCCCTGACAGCGGGAGACAGAAACTTCTCCTGAAAGGCACCAACGAAAGCCTTCCAAGTCCCTCCAATACAACCTCGCACAAACTTCCACCACTGACCCGCGTCTCCCTTCAGTTGGAAAGACGCCAAGGTCACCTTCAAAGCCCCGTCTTCGATGCCAAGCATCTGGAACATCTTCGTCATCTGTTCAAGCCACCCATCAGCCTTAAGTGGCTCTTTCGGATCCCCCAGAAACTCATCCAGATTAGACCGAAAAAACTCCCTCTTCAGAAAAGAAGGCCTTGCCTCAGCAACATGGGCTTGGACTTCATTCTCAGCTCTGAGAATGCCCATGGATTCCCTCAATGCTCCTGCCATCTCGTGGGCTAAGGTGCCCATGGCCTACTGTCCTACTGGCTTGGCCATATTGGCCTGACCAACCCTCTCTTGCTGCGCCGGAATCTCATCCGGTATAGGCATCTCCTTCCTCCTAGGCCTACCTCACCTACCACCACGTCCTCGTCCTGATATCCTAATAAAGGTAACAGGAACATTAGCACGTTCACAAATGTGCCTAAGCTATAACACTTGCGTCGTAATGCATTGGACAACAGTAATTCACTCCACGTAAGCACATAATCACATAAGCACTTACGAATTTCATTTCCGAATAATGACAGTCCCGTGGTATTGCTAGAGTTCCGGTTAGAAATAGTATTGATCAAGTGCTTTTCCAACAAGACTCCCAGAAACCCAAGGATCTAATCAACATCCTAGAAACTAAATTCCATACCCATATAGTCAAGTAAACATGTTATCACATAAGCACATAACATCATACAAAAGTCTTTAACAAGCGAGACAAACCCAATGTGGTACTAACCACTTTCTACGTACCCAAAGTATTCAAACTCGGTATGCTCTGATACCAAGTTGTAACGCCCTCAAAATAAACCCATAATCATGCATTCAGGATACAAGAAAGAAACATTATATTCCCAACATCAGAGTATTCTTACAAGAAATATTATATGTTGACAACAAAAGTAAATGCCCTATAGGCTTACAACTTTCCAAGTCAACACTTGGGTTCAACAACAGTAGAGTTCTAACTCTTTACACAAAATAAGCCCTCGGCTTGATATACATGTAATAACAAAAGATAACCACAAAAAGATCCATCAGTCTCTAAGCCTCCCAAGCTACGTCCGTGGAGGTGGCATGTCACCTGTACCTGAAAATGATGTCCCATATAGGGTGAGCCACAGCCCAGTAGAGATATACTAAACCAACTATAAACAATGACTAAAATAATAGCATTCAATAGATGGTCCACACTTGTATTCCAACGTATATCGTATTACAGTTTCACGACAATCATGCCCATGGCACACTTCAATTTGAATGGTTCCTTTGCAAAACTTCTGCAGGTGCGTTTTTCACGCTCGAGCGGAAACTGGCTAGGTTCTAAGCCTTGTTTTCAAACTCAAAGTTGAATAAGAAATGGAAATTGAAGTGTGCCATGGGCATGATTGTCGTGAAACTGTAATACGACATACGTTGGAATACAAGTGTGGACCATCTATTGAATGCTATTATTTTCGTCATTGTTTATAGTTGGTTTAGTATATTTCTATTGAGCTGTGGCTCACCCTTTATGGGACATCATTTTCAAGTACAGGTAGCATGCCACCTCCAAGGACATAGCTTGGGAGGCTAGAGGCAGACAGACTGTTTCTGTTGTTTTGTTTTCTTTTGATGTATTACATGTATATCAAGCCAAGGGCTTTCTTTGTATAGAGTTAGTACTCTCTTTTGTACCAAGTGTTGACTTGGAAAGTTGTAAGCCATTATTCAAATATTATTCAAATTGTAAATAATTCAAATTATTCAAATATTATTCAAATTGTAAATAATTCAAATTATTCAAATATTATTCAAATTGTAAATAATTCAAATTATTCAAATATTATTCAAATTGTAAATAATTCAAATTATTCAAATATTATTCAAATTGTAAATAATTCAAATTATTCAAATATTATTCAAATTGTAAATAATTCAAATTATTCAAATATTATTCAAATTGTAAATAATTCAAATTATTCAAATATTATTCAAATTGTAAATAATTCAAATTATTCAAATATTATTCAAATTGTAAATAATTCAAATTATTCAAATATTATTCAAATTGTAAATAATTCAAATTATTCAAATATTATTCAAATTGTAAATAATTCAAATTATTCAAATATTATTCAAATTGTAAATAATTCAAATTATTCAAATATTATTCAAATTATTCATATTATAAATAATTAAAATTATGGAAATTATGGAAATAAGCATATTAGGATATATTGCCTTTTGGAAATTTAGAAGGAAAGAAGGAATAAAACTTCCAGAGAAGAGAGGGAAAGCGTGTTTGAAGAAAATAAGGAAGGTAAGAAACATACTATACTACTGATGAGAGAGAGAGAGAGAGTATATTCATGTTTAAATGTGTCTCTCTCACTCAGCCATCACTGTCTGCAAAAAATCTCCCTTGCCTTCTTCAGGGATCCCCTGTCCTCTCTGTCCATCCATATATATTAATCACTTTCAGTTCAGCCATTCCACACAGTCTCTCTCTATCTCTCACAAGCTCTCTCTCTCTCTCTCTCTCTCTCTCTCTGTGTCTCAAAATGGCCGAGTCACAGAATAAGGTTTTTGCCGCCTTTTGGTACTCCATCATAGGCCGTCTCCTTTGCACCAACAGTAGAAACGAAGATCAGAAGGAGGAAAAAAGTGGAGTTCAGATTTTTGATCTTCACAGTTTGATTCCTTATCAACCAATGTTTGCGTCATTGGCGTTCACAACTGAAGCCATGAGGCTGTTGGAGGAAGAGCAGTTTCTTCAGTTGAATAAGTAAATTCAGTAATTTTCTCTATATTTCTCTCTCCCCCCCTTCTTATTCTCTGTATAATCTTTGTCTCATTGAATTTCTATAGGAAAGAGAAGGACCCGTTGAAGCCGAAGCAACTGATGTCTGCGTTTTTCATGTTCAGAAATGAGCGAAGAGCAGAGAGCAAGAGTGGTTGGGAGGTAATTGAAGAATGGAATAACAAGACAGAGAAATAGAAGAAGCCATATGAAAAGGTTCAATTAACTTTGTCTTTCTCTCTCAATCTGTGTGTGTGTATGTGTGTGTGTGTGTGTGTGTGTGTGTTTCTGCAACAGCAATTTCATATTTTGGGAACTTGCAGATTGCAAAGCAAAACATGGAAAAGTATTTGGAAGAAATTAAGGCTTACAAGTGTAGACACCCCATTTTTGACCGCCCTTAAGACTTGGGCGTTACTGATGGTTTACTTGGTAGTAAAAGATGTGCAGGGCAAAGGTTCAAATTCGTCAGCAATGAGAGAGTCAAATCCCAACTTCAGACCCCTTTTGGACCAAAACAATCTTGATCAAAAGATTTTAGATCTTAAAATCCTTTCTTTCAAAATGTTTTGAAAATAAAATTCCTACGATGTTCCGACGCTCACATTTCGGTAAATGTT